AAATGGTCTTGCATAAAGGCCTTTATTTTATCAATCCCCAATCTATCATTGCCAGTTATGACAATATCATCCACATAGACTACTAATAAAATCTTTCCGGCTTCAGAATCATAGCTGAACACTGAGTGGTCAACCTGACATTGTTTCATTCCAAAATTCTTCACTTCACTAAACTTCTCAAATCAAGCACGAGGAGATTGCCTTTTTCAGTCTACACACTTTACCATCCTCCCCTTGAGCAACAAACCTAGGTGGTTGCTTCATATATACCTCCTTCATAAGGTCACCATGGAGGAAGGCATTTTTAATGTCAAGTTGAAACAAGGGCCAATCATACATAACTACCAAGGAAATTAAGACACGGACTGAGCCAATCTTTGCCATTGGAGAGGTCTCCATATAGTCCACCCCATACAACTGAGAATAACCTTTAGCAAGAAGTCGGGCCATCAAATGCTCCACACTGCCATCCGGAAAGTATTTAATAGTATACACCCATTTACAACCCATAACATGCTTACCTGGAGGAAGAGTAGTGAGCTCCCATGTGTGAGTATGCTGAAGAGCAGAGAGTTCCTCCTCCATTGCTTGACGCCACCCGGGTGAAGTAAGGGCCTCCTGGACATCCTTAGGTATAGATATAGATGACAATAGAGAAACAAACTGGCGATGTGAAGCGGAAAGGTGAGAGACTGAAAAAAAATTGGAAATGGGTGTAGGGTACAACTACGTTTACCTTTCCGTAAAGCAATGGGAAGATCAAGCTCTGAAGGTTCTAGGACAGGAGCAACAATAGGATCCGTAGGCAAGGTAGAAGTCGGAGGAGGTGATGGTGTCTGTTGATGAGTATACATGTGCCGGATCGGTGGTCATTCAATAGGAATCTGCACTTGAGGAGGTGAAGATTCAGTCCCAACTAGAACAACCGGAACGGGATCACAGATTGGAAGAGGGAGATGAAGCAAAGGTGGAGATAACGATACTTTAGGTCCCCAGAAGAATGGGACGGGCTCAAAAAAAGTGACATCAGGACAGACATAGAACTTCCGAGTAATGGGATTGTAACACTTATACCCTTTTTGGGTCCGAGAGTAGCCAAGAAAGATACACTTAATAGAGCGTGCATCCAGCTTGTCTAAACCAGGACTCAGATTGTGAACAAAGCACACAGCCAAAGACCCAGGGTGTTAATGGAAAGGGAGACAAGGTGGGGAACAAAATAGAAAAGGGAGACTGACCATGAAGGACGAAGGAAGGCATCTGATTAATAAGGAAACAAGCAGTAAGTACAACATCACTCCAAAATCGTTTAGGAACACTCATATGATGAAGAATAGACTGAGTAGTTTCAAGGAGATGACGGTTCTTTCGTTTAGCCACCCCATTTTGTTGAGGGGTGGATGCACATGAAGTTTGATGAATGATGCCATGTTGTTCTAAATACTATTGAAAGGAAGTAAGAAAGTATTCACGACCATTATCTGAACGAAGAACTTTGATTGGAACACCAAATTGCATACGTATTTCAGCATGGAATTTTTGAAAAATGGAAAATAATTCACTCATTTCTTTCATTAAATAAATCCATGTCATTCTTGAACAATCATCAATAAAAGTGACAAAATACTTGTAGCCATTATAAGACTCTATTTTAATCGGACCCCAAACATCTAAATGAACTAAAGCAAAATGACTCAACATACGACTATCAACTCTAGGACTGAAGGAAACTGATGGTGTTTCCCATACTGACACGACTCGCACTGTAAAGACAACAACTGACTCAAAGACGGAACTAGTATCTTGAGTGCCTTGAGAGATGGATGTCTCAGCCGACAATGCCATTGTAGAGAAGTGAGGGAAGTCTGAAGTGCAACTGATGATCCACCACCGTCAAGATAATACAATCCACCGGCCTCATGTCCTCCACCTATCTTCTTCCCCATCTTGAGATCCTGAAAAACACAAAATGAAGGGAAAAATGTAATAGAGCAATTAAGGGTCTTACTTAATTTACTAACAGACATAAGATTGAATGAAAATTTAGGTACATATAGAACAGATGATAAAGAAAGAGAAGTTGTGTCAACATTACCAACACCACAGATGGGAGAAGATGAACTGTTGGCAAGGGTAACAGTTTGAGATGTGGAAGTTTCAAAGAGGGAAGAGAACACACCTGGAGTCCTGGTCATGTGATCAGAGGCTCCAGAGTCAATAATCCAAGGAGAGGGTTTGGATTCCAGACAAGTTATACTTGAGTGTGCAAGGGTTGCTGTAATATGTTGTGAAGTAGCCTGAAGGAACCTCTCATACTCATCTCGTGGTACACTCATCATCTCCTTCCTGGAAACAGATGTAGATGTGGAAGGTGTTAGATCTGCCTGTTGGTTATCACTGACATCAACCCCACCATCTACTGCATGATTAGCCCATGTAGAAGGTGGGCCATGGAGATCATAGCAAAAATTCACTATCCTTCCTTGCCACAGTGGGTACACTTCCTAGTAGAGGTACCTTTTCCTTTACCACGGCTACCCCCTGAGTCATGACCACCGCCATGACCAAATATGGAACCACCACGWCCTCCTCGAGATGCATGTCCTCCCCCTCTAGTACCACGTCCACCTCCTCTAGCTACCACAAATCCTGCGAAGCCGTGCAAATACTTCCTCAAGTGTAGGAAGAGTAGAGCCTCCCAATATTTGAGCTCTAACTGGTTCGTACACTGATTTCAGCCCCACTAAAAACATAGTGACATCCAGTTGCTCTCTCTGTTGTTGTTGAACCTTAACATCTAGAGTTAGGGGATGATAGACATTGAGCTCATTTTTGAGGTTTTTCATACTGGCATAGTATTCTTCTAGGGTTTTATTCCCTTGCTGCAAATCGAAATACTCCTGATAGAGCTGATATACCCTTGTAGTATTATCTTGTCTAGAATAAAGCTTCTTGGCATGTTCCCATATGTCCTTAGCTGTATCTAAGAACATAAAGTTGGCACTTATTTTGGGTTCCATACTGTTCCACAACCATGTCATGATTTGGGCATCTTCCTGTTCCCAGTCATCAAACCCTGAAGATTCAGCTGATGGTTTATCTTCCTTGCGTGTTTCACTTTCCTCTTTGCCTTGAGAAAAACTTCCACTGACTTGGCCCATGGCACATAATTCTCACCATTATGTTTAATTGAAGTCATCTGCACACCCAGATAGTCGGATGGAATCATCACACCAGGTTTCTGATCACTACAACCATCTGCAGTTGCTGCCATTATGTCCTCCCAATGCTACTTCTAATGCTGAATCCCTAGTCACCAACCTAGTACTGCTGTCAAGAGCTTGATGTTTCAGACACTACAGCAGTCTCCAAACACAGATAATAGGTTCACAACCAGTCACAATCAACCACCATTATGTAAATTACCATTCATATTAAGAGCTTGATGTTTCAGACAGGTTTGGCTACCATTTCAGATTAAAAAAATGTAAACTAGCATTCAGACAGAAACGACAAGTCAGAATATTGATGTAGACTATATTCGGCCACTCCTTTCAGCACAAAAAAAAACAGACTTTTGTTCTTATTCACACCACTACTAATTACTCAGAAATATAAATCACAATGACAGTCACTTAGCAACTCAACCAACCACACACAAACCCTCTTGAAACTGCTCAATAGAGGGTGAATATCACAAACACCACCACACGACCAAAGCTGTCACACATGGTAATGACAACAATATGGAACTGAGAGCCTAGGACTGCCGCACCTTCCTAACACTTGAAATAGGGACTGCAACAGTCCTAAAAAAATAAAACTTGCTGCAGTAACTAAATTGAGTACCTCAGATTTTGCAGCCCAGAGAAAGAGAACCCAGAAGAAGGAGAAATTGTAGAATATGAACCTTGGTGCTGCAGCCTTCTTCTCCTTCGTTTAGCGCTCTGATACCATGTTATTTCAGTACTTCAGCAGTTCGAACCAGTAGAGAGTGAAAGAGAAGAAGAAGAAGAAGTAGTCGAATTTGGTAGACTAAACCCTACCAGTCGACCATAATATGGATTTGGGGTTCTGATTAGTGCACAATGACTAAACTGCCCCACTTAAGTATGGGGCAGGATGTCTACAGAAGTAATATTAGAACTAAGGGTGGCAATTTTTCACCCAACCCACCTAGTATCTAACCCACCCAACCCGGTCTGACCTGATCCAGCATATACCGATCTGGGT